TTCCAGTTTTACAAGTTGCTTAATGCTTTCAAGCCCCTTGTAAAGGCATAATTAGTGACATTGTTCACTTACACTACAGATTCCTCTTGCTCCACATATTGCCTGATCCAATCTGCTTGAGATGGCTGGCGAGAATCTAAAGTATCATCATCCCACTGTCTCTTGACAATAACAGAAAAATTCTCGACTTCTTGCTTATTCGTATAGATTGATTCACCAAAGGAGTCCAATCATCCCGTTGATTTAATATAACACCAACAGAAACGCATAAAGGCATTGAGGATAAGAAATTCAGTATCCAAAATGCCAAAAACTTAACATTTTAATACTACAAGCAACCCAAAACAATCTTATAGAAATAATATAGTCAAGTGAAGTACAACAATACCTTCATTAGCAACGAGGTTCCAGAAGAAAACTTCAATGGAAGCTCATTCCCTGGCAAATTCAAGCATAACCAATCAAGCGCAGACTCGAATGTAGCACCTTCCTGCAGAGAACAGTGAAACAGAATACAAACTTGAAATATCAATAAAGAAATGATATGATCAGTAAATATTTGGCAAGGTATATGAAAAAGATCAAATTGAAACAATGACACGGTTACTGGGGGAAAACATAGGGACAAAGGCAAGAAAAGCGAAAACAAAGAGGAATGGTAGAAACAGGGAAAACAATTTTGTAAGTTTCTCAGAAACGGAAGCAGAAAGTCATACGAAACTAAGCTATTAGACATTGATTAACTTCGCATTATATGTATCAGATTGCTTACTATCTCTTTTTTTATTTTTGTTTTTTTTTTTAAGGGCCGGAAATGGAACGCAAACAGCCTTTTACTTTGGGTTATAATCCTCCAAATGAAGTCCTTGCCTTCAAAAACTTCGCACTACAACTACATTTTTACATACACACACACATGGTGTGTGAGTGAACTACCACCGCATTCTAGTACGACAGGTATTTTACTTATTTGTTTAGCAGAAATGTTTCAATAGTTAGATTCCCCATAGTCAGAACGACCAATGATTATTACTCCACATTTCTCTCGCTGAGTAGCCAATGATGACAAGACATAGATACCTTGAGAGTGGAAAGAGCAAGCTCAATCTGATCATTACCGAAACCTTCACAAGAGAGCTTCTCATAAACAGCTTTGAGCTTCTTCGCCTTCTGAGCCTTGGTCAGGACATCGTCCGTCGCAGGAAGAGATGGCGTGGACCTGCCAGAGTTGAGCAAGAGGCGGCGGAGGCGGTTCTCGTTCTCGGCCGAAATTTGCAGCCTCGGACCGGATGAGGAGGACTGCGACTTTGCTTTTGACGATGAAGCTGAGTTGGCTTTCGGCTTCTGCTTGTTCTTCTTCGGCGGCATTTTGTCTCTGCGATGGTGATGACAGTGCAGAAAAACTGAAAAACCAGTAGCTTTAACGTATAGACCAGCCGGTTCAGCAAAAACTTCGAATCTTCTAGACCGGGGAGCTGCGATTTTGCTGGCGGGGCGGTGCCGGGAGCTGTCAAGGAGTCATTGTCAGTGAAAATTAAACGTTCCTTGTTAGTTCATTTCAAGACTTTAACTCAACGCAATCCCGTATAGGTTATGTTTAATAGCCTAGAATTAGCCAAAATGAAACAAAATTAGAATTGGAATAATGAAGTTGAGTTGTTTGATATATATCAATCTAGATTCCTAATATTCTGAATTCAACCAAAATGTTAAATCCAATTTTTTCATCATAACATTGAAATTAGCCTAATTTTCAGTTGTCTTTGGGTGGGTGAATTTAAGTTGCAAATTTGAATCTAAAATTTTATATTTAAAATTTCATATTAAAAATTCATAAATTTTAAATTTTTTATTTAGATGATATAAAAATTTTGGATTATAATATTAAAATTTTTTACTTAAATTTAAAGTAAAATTTTATATTTTATATTTTATATTTGAATTTAAAAAAAAACTTAGACAACTAGTTAAAGTCGATGGTCTGAATGGCCAACGTTCATTGAGATCAAATAGTCAAAGCCAACTAGAATTGTAGCATAGGCGATGAACGAGATGAAATAGTTGACTTGTACTAGGATTAGATGGTTGCCTTCCACCTGGACCAAATGACAAACTTTCACAAGGATTGGACCAATGGCGATGATAGGGACCAAACGGCCAACTTCCACTGGGACTGAACTGACAACGTCCAATGAGACCATACCGACAGCAATGACTAGGATAGAATGGTCAACTTTCACGAAGACTGGACTCATTGGAAGTCGGCCATCAAGTCCTCGTAATCGCCATCAATTTGGTCCTTGTAGAAGTCAGCCATACGGTCCAAGTGGTCAATGTCAGTTCGATTACAGTGGTTGCCGTCAATTCGATCCTAGTGGTCGCCATCAATCTGATCTCAGTGGAAGTAAGTCATCTGGTCTCATCATTGCCTTCAATCCTATCCCAGTGGAAGTCAGTCATCTAGTCCCAATGGTCGCTGTCAATCCAGTCTCGATAGAAGTCAGTCTTCTGATCCTGTCGTCACCGTCAATCTTGTTCGAGTGAAAGTCTGTCGTTTGGTTCCCATCATCATTGGTCTTGTCCCGGGGGAAGTCGGCTATTCGATTCCTATAGAAATCGGCTGGCAAGTCCCCGTCATAATTGTCAGTTCGATCCCAATAGAAGTTGGCAAGTCAATCCCCATCGTCACTGTTGGTTCAGTCCTAGAGGAAGTCGACCATCCTGTCCTAGGGGAAGTCGACTGTTGTAACATCCTAATTTTTAGATAAAAAAAATTTATGGAATTTAAGTTTTATTAAAAAAATGATAATAATAGGAATTTATATTATTTGAGGTTATTTGAAAATAATAATATGTATTATGGGTAGGTATTTAATTATGAATTAAAAATTTAGGTTTAAAATTACATAAAAAATATTTAGTTAAGATATAATTTTAAAATTTAAAATATATATATATATACACACCATATTATGCGTGAATGTGGAAAAAAAAAAGAATAAAAAAAAGAGTAAAGGATTCCTCACATATAAAAGAAAGTGAGAGCGTGCAGAGGAAGGCAAAAAAAAAAATTTGTGCAATTTGTGAAAATTGTAACTAATAGCCGAAGATGCAATTTATGAAAATTGTAAGTAATGGCCCAAAGTTTGAATAATTAAATTTAGACCTATAATTTTTTTAATATAATTTTGGGACCCACAATCCCATTTTTATATTATTTTTCTCTCTTCCTCTCACGTTGCTCGGCGTTTTCTCATAAGGGGGGATTATTTTTTTTCAAGGTATGTTCCAACTTTCTTGTTTAAATTAGCATTTAAAAAATTATTTAAATACAAAATTAATTTTATAGTTATTTTCTAAATAATATTAGCTTTCTAGTGATATGATTATTTTGTAGAATAGAGTAAATATTTTGATTAGGATTTTTCTATAGGATAGTTAATCTGATGATATGATGGATTAAAAATATAGGTTAAAGCTCTTAGGGATATAATAAATATTATAGAATATTTTTTTGAGGTTGAAACTCATGTTTAAAAATTTTTGAGTCAAAATCTATATCTATATGATTGAATTTATGTGGAATCTGAGATGTAGGGATGAACCTATAATTATTAAATATTTATTTAAATATGAATAGATATTTTTGAGGTTATAGAAAGGTGATTTGAGGCTTCAGGATAATTCTAAAATTTTTAATTTATTTTTGAATGAATTTTTAGAATATAGAAGGGTGAAATTGTGATACTAAAAGTGATTTGAGGCTTAAAAATAGTTTATTAGGGTACGAGAATTATCGAAAAGAATTTGAAAAGTTAAATGAGGCATAAATCTTAAATTAGTATTAATATGGATTATAAATTTAAGACTTTCTAACTCTTTAAATTAGAGTTATTTATTTTAATGTAAAATTAATATATAGTATTATGAAATAACTATGTAGATTGTGTTGACAAAGATAGTGATGAAAGAGGAGTTGTGAAGGGGAACTTGTTATTCAAGACACAAGGTAACCATTATTAATGTGTTGTGATGAGTGTGTTTGTGAATAGTTATGTGTTGACTTGTTATTTAGAAAAATTATGAATTATTGAAAATAAATCCTATTATATACTTGTTTAAAATTATTGCCAAGTGGGTCAAAAATTTATTTTTATTTATCATGATGAGATATTATTGTTCGGATATATTCTTATTTAGATACTTGAATGATACATGACTTGTTAGGGTATTTTAATGTATGGTGTTAATGGAAATTTCTGTTCAGTTAATTATTACCACATAGTAAGCCCTCATTGGACTCAATAAGTGGCATGTCGCTTGGTCCAACTCACCTTTGGCCGGGTGATTTGGCGTCCGAGCATGGTGAAAGGAGGATATAAGGTGCAGTCATGCAATTAAATACTTGTTCAGTTTGTTTGAAAATATTATTCGGTTAAATGTTTTGTGTACTCACTTAGCAATCGCATGATTAGTTACATCTGTATGCATCATTACATATTAATTTTTGGTTACTAGGACTTTTAAGTCTCATTCCCCGTGGTTAATATTTTTACAGGAGCGAGTCCGGTCGAGAAAGCACCAGAGGTGTAACTATGGTGTATGAGACACCATCTTTTACGTTACCTCTTATTTTGGATTATACAATGTATCTTGTGCCAACTTAGGACATATTTTCTTTGTGGAGCATGTAAACTCTAATCTTTTTTATTAAATGCACTTATATGTCCAAGAGAATTATGTATGTCCCTTTTAATTCATGACCTGATTTAAATATCATGCCAGGAGGATCCTGTCTGTCCCTCATGGTTCTAATTGCTTTTTGAGATATTTTAAGACCTGTGGTATATTGTCTTGGATGTTTCTACCATGATAAGGGTATGATAAGGGTTCAATGAAAAAAATAATTTATTGAATTAATAATTTGTGAAAAATCGGTTTGTTTGAGGGTGTTACAACTGTCTTGCCCTATCTCAGTCTCCGCTATCAGTTCGGTTCGAGTAGAAGTTGATTATCTAGTCCCAGTCAACGGTGGCGACTTGTTTTCATCAATTTTGGTAGTCTAATCCAATTACCGTTGGCAGGTTGATCAAGCCTTTTGTGAATTTAGATCAAATTACAAAAGAGATTAAATTAGAATTTGAAATAATAAGGGTTTAAATAGGATTTCAAATTATAAAGAAATTGAGGTAGAATTTGGATTTGGATTTGGATTTAATCCAAATCTAAATTCATACATTTGTAATTATCCAAACAATGGATTTTGTTCAAATCCAAATCCAAATCTATATGTATCCAAACATAGCATTAAGGAATTCTCATCATTGCCCTCAATCTCTATCTCTCCACTGCAATCTTCCACTTTGCCATCAATTGCTACCTATTCATCACTATCAATTGCCCAACCTCAACAATTAGAAGCTTGGCTCTATCTTGGACCTCGTTCATGGTGGTCGGTCTAGCGGTACTGCTGGTGGTGCCTTTCAAGCTCTTGATGTTGTCTCCTTGCTCCAACTACCACACTGGAATGGAGGTGATTGTCAATAACGACAACAACAACCCTATCCTGCTTTTTCCTCCTTCATGACCTCCACCAACAACCCTACCTGCAGGGATATATGATCGTTAAGATCAATGATAGCATCTTTAACTTAGTTGGATATACGACTTCGCAAGTAACGTGGTAAAAATGTGTGGAAATAAAAATTATAGATCCTTACAAGGTCCTTAAGGTCGATAAAAATGCAAGTCAACGGGGAATTTAGAAGGCTTTCCACAAGCTCTCCATCTCCAGTATCATCTAGATAAGAACAAAAACTTGGGTTTGGTTTGAATGACCTTTTTGGTAGTCTCTTTATTTATAATGACATTTTTGTCTTTTCTTATTTTACATATATATATTTATTAAAATCATATTAAGATTCTATCTCTATATCAAATATAATTGTAAAATTTGATTCCAACTCAGATTCTACTAAAAACTCTTCCATTATACCAAATGGATTAATTTAAACTTTAATTCATTATAATCAATTCCCTATAGTTTGAGTAGTTCAGGCTTTAATTCACGAAAGGAAAATTACTTTTAATCTCTGCACTTAACTCAAAATTTGGTACAAGTCCTTGTACTTTTTTTGGTGTTTCAAGTCTTTATACTTCACTCTATCTGCAACCCTAGTCCTTATATTTTCAAAGGGATGCTAACATGGCACAAACAGTGTTAGTAATACTAATATGTTATTTAGCACTGCTAATTTTATACTTATATGTTTAATTGATGCTAATATGGAATTCTTAATAAACAAAAAATAAAAAAAACAAGAGTCTACCTCTCATACTAATTTAAAAGACTAGGACCCTTTAAATGATAAAATGCAAAAAACATAAATTCTGAGACACATAGATCCCATTGCAATTGGGACACAGAGACCCCACAACAATGACATCAAAAAAGCTTTGGTGGATGCCAAAAAAGAGCATTCAATGGTATTGGAATAGTCATGGCTAGTGAACCATTAACAAATAATGGTCGGAGAATGAA